ACAAGTCAAAAACAAAACTAGATTAATAGTTTTCTGGATAAATCTGGAACCGGGGCAGCTTAGAATTAAATAAAACCTCAGAGTTTATGGGACTTAAAGATAAGCTAAATTTTATTGGGTTCTGGTTCTCATTCCCACTGTGTTCTGAAGCCCACAGCCCCAAAGTACAAAGAGGAGTAAAAGAAGTACCTACTGGCATTTTAGATGATCAAAGAGTAAGGGGTTTCCTTGGTGTTTTGAAATAATGTTTTCCTGCTGTTCCTGTGTTCCTACAGATGTTTCAACATGTGTAGGAATAGTGAGACTGAGTGGAAACTGGTAGACAGTTGCCTGATATTCCTGGATTGTTCAAACACCCCCTTTGTGATTGTCTCCCCTTTGTTGAGCCTCCTTTGCCTACTTGTACTCTACTCCTTTAAGGATCTACCCAATTTTACCTTGTTTTTGTATGAACCAGTAAAGGAGGCTGGAACTGAGATAAGAGATGTTCAGAACTGGGGACCCTGGGGCCCAGGGCCCAGAAAGAATAGGAAGACCTGAACTCCACAGCTTTCACATGAGTATCACAGTACAAAATGAAAGATGGAAATTTCAGATAATTTGTTCAATGCTAAATGAGGTGAGGAGTGGCAACTCTAAAATACATATCCTTGATGTCCATTCTCATCTTGTTCCTCTTCTACTGGTGTGCGTGTGTGTATTTCCCACTCACTCACCTTACCATTTCCTGGCAGCTAAAATGACAGGGCCTTCTCCACAACTCATTCTGCCCCCAACAGCCATACCTACCTTCTGGAAGTCAGATCCTTGAGATCATGGCCTACTGACCAGAAAGGCGCTCATTTCCATGGTCTCTGTGACTTCTACGTCTGCCTCCCTGGGGCAAAAATGTCTGCTGTAGTCCCTCCTTTTGGAAATCTGAAGACTTCTGGAATTGCCCCTGAAAAGAAAGGAAGATAGGCAGGTGAGAGTCAATAACAATGTTATTATAATCATCTTTATATAGGTGAGCTTCAGGAAGCCTGGATGGAAACTTAGCAGGGGCAGAGTATCAGAGAAATGAAAGAAAATAATACCATAATATGTTTGATTTTATCTCTTTGCTATCTTTCTCCACATCCTCTACTTTTTGTTCTCCCATTATGTAACTCTGCCTCTATTTTCATCCTGTTCCTTCACTTCCCTTAAACATACTCATTTTCCTTATTTTCTAAAAACTCCTTTTTTGCCTGATCCTCCACAAATGGAATGAACAAAAGTCTGAGCAGCTTTAAATCATTACATCTCCTTATGAGTTATCATTTGTCCTTCTGCATGTAACAAAGACTCTGTGATCTCTTTTGTGTACCTGTATTAAATGAAGCTTTGTGAAGACAGTTATCTTGATTTATATCATTTAACATCCAAGCGCTTGTACAACATTAATGAATATGCACAACCAGCTCAACAGAGGTAGGGGCAAGGGAAGGGGGAGAGGAAGAGAAGGAAAGAATGGTAACAGGTTCTTCAAGAAGGTATGCTGCCCAGCAATGGTGGGAGTAATTTAGGAAGTCTTGGAAGATAATGGAGCAGGACTTACTTGTAATGATGAAAAACAGAAGAAAGAAGTAAAGACAGGGATGCACTCAGTATGAGACACAACTTTAAAAAAACATTATTTTTTAATACATTAAAGTATACAGAGGAGGAAAAACCTGGTCTATAATTCCACAGCACCAGAGAACCCTTAATGACATAAACATATTTTATATATGTGTGCGTGTGTACATATTTTATGTGTATAAAATGTTTGTATTTTATAGAAAATGCATTTTCATGCTAAGAATGTTGAAACAAAACAGAAGATACAAAAGTGAAAGCATCCCTCCCTCCCTCTTCCAACAGCAACTTTTTTGGTTATGATTTAGTTTTGGCGAAATGACAAGAGAATTTTGGGCCATAGTGTTGAATTACTCCTTTAGCCAAATCAGAGAGATTTGTGGCTGGAGTGACTGACTTCAACAAGCTTATGAAATCTGGCTGGAAGGAGAAAGGGGGCAACCTAAAATTACAGCCACCAAACCTTTTTCTGCTACCTCTAAGATTAGTTTACATTCCTTCCCATCCTGTTTCTCTTCTAGGAATTGCAGGAGCAGTGTGTTTCCCTCCTGGCCCAGCACCACTATTCCAGAATGCTGCTGAAATGAGGGAACCACCAGAAACCTTGATATATGCACTCACTACTATAGACAGTGCTTTGTATACAAAGACTCAGGACAGAAGCAAGAGAACAGTGAGCTTTTGGAGTGCTAAGCAGTCAGCAAATATAATCAGCAATTTACAGTTTTAATCTATTTATAAATTGCTAAATATCAACAATCAGTTAATAAAAACAACTACTATTACCACATTGATTCTTTCAACAAATTATTTATTGAGCACCCTCTATGTGTCAGGCAACTACACTGTGACTACGATAATTAAAAAAAAAAAAAAGTAAGTGAAGACAGACTCCCTGCTTTGGAGAGTTTATACCGTAGTTGGGAGAAGGTGGGGGAGGTATATATTAATCAAAGAAACATACGTATAGAATTCAAACTTTGCTAAGTGCTATAACATAAACATACCTGTTTATGTTTTCTTCTGAAAATGTACATTAGAATGAAGGCAAATCAGGAGAGTTATAATTTTTAAGATTTTCATTATAAATTCAATTATTTAGGTTATAACTACTGTTATCACATACATATTTTTTAGTTAAAATTACATAAACTTCACTGCAAAATTAAAGGTGAAATGTGTTCACAATCCCAAACTATTTTTATTTGTCCATGTTCTCACATAAATTGTTAATAAATGCTTTGCTTAGGTTCTCATCCTTGGATTGGTAGGTAAGCTTTGTTAAGGTGAGAACTGAGGTTTAGGAATATGTATTTATTTTAAAAAACCACTTCACTTCTGTGATAGGTTATTTCCTCTTGAAACCCTCCCCCGCTTTTTAAAAAATACACTTAACATTCCTATGGGATGCCTGTGTCCACCCCCTCAACTCCATTTTTCCTTAGTCCCTGAACCTGGCCACATGATAAACAGACATATATTCTGGCATACTCTGCTACCAAAACATTTAACTTTTTGACTCTGTAGAGAGATGAAGTGGCATGGGATTAAGTGGGAACACTCTATATTATTCAGCAACATCAGCAGAAACAAAGAATATTATGTGCCCTGTGAATAGAACAGCTGTGAATAGAAGATGGCTTAGAATCAGGAGGCCTTCATTCACAAAGCCAAGTGGAGTTTTTAGGGAATTATCTCTACAATTTAGGTAAAATTAGGTGTTTGCCCCAATTTAAACATAACTGCTGACCATTTGTTCTCACAGCTGAAGGAGTAAAATAAAAATTTTTCCTGATGTTTGTATAAATTTAAGTTATACCACAAGCCACATGTAAAGGTTGGGGCCCATTCTTTGCACGGGTCTTTGTCTCCCAAGATAATTTATTTAGTACTGTGATAACAGTAAATGAAAAGAAAGATTATGCTCTACCTCCAGGCACTAACTACTGGGTTAGAGTTCTGCCCTTTCTTTCACCTGGTTTCTTTGTAAAAGGCCCCACTGATAAAAGAGTAAGAAGTCAGCAACACTGCCTGCCCATACTACAGAATCTAAAAGCTCTTCCTCTGCTGGTTCAAGGAAGATATGAAGAATATGTTCCTTCAACTGTTAGAAGCGAGCATTAATCTAGAAATTGGTAGATGCCTTTGGTGTCAATCTTGAAGTTATCCAGAGCACAAGAGGAACTGCTACCAAAGCTTAGGCCCAAAGTACTCCAGCCCCAGCTACTTGAACTAGTTCTGCCCTTCCTAGATTTTGCCTGTTTTTTCCCAGCCATCTTAAGTGCCCCAATCCCTCCTAGAGAGTTAAGAATGTGACTCTCTTTGAGAGAAAGTGAGGTTAGGATTGGAATCTGGATATGATTAACTCCTCCCCACTATTTTCCTAAATCCGTCTCACTCCCAAAGACAGGTGAATTTACTAAGTGAACAGGCCTGAAAACCAGTACAAACTGGCGTTTAAAATTCTTATGTTCACTGAATTCCTGTAGAAAACCTCTAAGAATAGGAAGGGAGTAGTTCTTTGGGAAAACAAATCTCCCTGAAGCTCACCTGGGTTTAAGCTTACTAAACAGTGCCTTTTGAGTTAGTCTATGGTTTCTAGGCCAGAAAAGTACATTGAATTCAGGCTTTAGCCTACAAAGTAGGCCTATAAAGATTACTCAGGCAGGATGGCCTGACACTGTACACATTTGGTACTATGATGGAGATAATGATCTTATCTTAAAGAAGGAAAACAAAACAACCCTGTGATACAGTGAAGTTAACTTGTCCAAAAATCACAGCAAGGCAAATGGCTGAGGCATATTCAAGGATCTCTCTCTCCCAAATGTGTGCCCTTTCCACAATATGATGAAGAGAGGCCAGGATGACTTCTAAACTGACATTAGCCAAGGTTCTAAAAAAATTAAATAGCCTCTCCAAACTCAACCTAAGGATTCTACAGCTCTGCAAACGAAGAAGCAGGGGAAAAAATAGTTCTTAGGAAAAAAGATCAGCAATTTTGCATTATCTTTGAGGAAATAGGAGGGAGAATAGGATTCTGGGACAGAGACTAGAAAATCTGAGGACTGAGTTCCCTGATTCCCAACAGCACCTTTAGCAAGAACCTGATTGTCCTAAGGGAGCTTAGTTCCCAGAGAAAGTCAACACAAGGGTATATAAAGCTTCACAACAGGAAGATGCCAATACCTGACCAGTTGCCTACCCACTACCTGTTCAGGCAGCGCTGGGGCACAGACTATATAATCTAACATTCTGGCATGAAGGAAGCAGCTCTAAACAAGTGAAGAAAGAATGGTTGGGGGTATGGATAGACAATAAGGCAGCAGGGGTTAGTTGTTCTAGTTTTCCTTAGGAGTTCAAATGTGTGTGGTTTCAAAACAAAAATCCAGAAAGAAACATGAGATTAATGCATTTATTCCAGGTAATTAACACATTAAAAATAAAGTTAAACTTGTTCAAGCCAACTCATAAATTCTTTAATCTTTTTAACAAAATGTACAACCCAAAACATCACACTGTGGTGGAAAATAACTTGGGAAAGGAGGAGGTAGAGGAAAGGATACATATGGGTTTGTGGAGCAGGGAATGAGTCCGATCCCAAGACAAGTTTCAGATCTTCTACCTCTTCAGAACAGAAATAGCTGCTAAACAATATAATACAATTTAATACACAGTGTTACTGGATCACAATACAATGAACAAAGGCCATTTCAAAATTAAAAGTGATCCCCAAATGCGTATCTGCTCCTGGAACTGAGCCATGAATAAGCCTTACCGATCTGTTGTCTTCCAAAAGTGAGCCTGCCAGGTTTTCTTCCATGTTTACTAAGGCCATTTCCAAACAGGGCTGTGGGTAAGCAGGACCATCTCAAAGACAACAGAGTAAGGGAGGTACAGGAGTTGACATGCCAATAAGGGAAGTAACCAGTAAACAAAAATACTACTAATGTTGCATTTCGAACAATGTTAAGGCATCCAAATGAAAGCCTAAAAGATGAACAATTCTTCCTCCAAGTTTTCCATTTCTGCAAGGTTTCTGGTGTTTCTCCCAGAGATCCATCAGCTGCCCGTGAAATTGGGTAGGAATACAACACAACAATTGGAGAAGTCAGCTGTCTTCCCTCCTCCCCCACATTCCAGAAATGGCAGAGTCAAAGCCAAAATACAATCAAAGCACACTATGCGGTAAGCCAGATAGACATTTGGTTTTAATGACAAAGTAGGAGAAAATAAATTGGCCAAAAAACAAATTAACAGAAAATACTTTTTTACAGATATGTATAGAAGTTATGACTGATTTGTCTGATATTTTAAAGGGAAAGAAAAAAAAGGAGGTAAATTTTTTAGCTTCCATAAACATTTACTGTAAGATGCTGACTGCATTGCTCGGTGTAGGTTCCAGATGAGATGACAAACTAGTTCTGGATCTCTTCTGGGCATCTGGTTTCTAGAAACCAATTTGATTCATCTGCAAGTAGCTCTGAGTATTTATTCTTGGTTGTGAACACTGAATTCTCTGTGGTCCTGGATGATATCAACTGTAGCTTCTTGTTCAAGCATTTCCTGAAGGACCATATTGCCTCCAACTACCTGCTCCCTTGGAGGGGACCGTGAAGCTGGAGTTTTTACCAAATTTAAAGGGTTGCCATTGTCCTTATGTACTTGAGGAATTGCTACCTCTGTGATGGATGCATTCGGTATTTCTAGCTGTAGTGTGCCCAGCTCCAGGGAACTACACGTAGAAGGGTCACCTGGCTCAGGGAGTAGAGAACATGGTTTCTCTTTCTGAACTCCAGAAGTCCGTGTTACAAAGTCAACAAGGTCTGGAAGGCAAGGAGATGGCCCAAGGCCTGCAGGATTAATTGTTTCTGATTCCAATCTGAGTGACTCTTGTTTCTCTAATTGGGAAGTTTCTTCTACTTCCTCGGGCATCATTCCTCCTGCTAACAGGTCAAGGGCCTGGTGTGTTCCCTCCAGGCCTCCCAAGACACAGTCAACATTTTCTACAGGAAATTCAGTTTTCAAAATGTTAGGAGAAGTGATCCTCACACTTACGGGATTAGGTGAGTTTTGTTCACTCTCTGTCTCAAAGTTAAGCACCAAAGTTTTGGGAGAATCTAACGGAAACCCAGAAAAAGATGGGATTGGTTCAAAGTCAGTGGGAGTGGAAGGATTACACCCTGGAGGTGATATAGAACTTTCTTCACATACTTTCTGAGACAAGGTAGTGGGAGATCTATGTGCTGGGTCTATCCGAGTATTGCAGAAATTAACATGTATATCACCCAGATTCCCCAAGGTAGCAAGCTCGTCTACCTTTAAGTCTGTAGCTTCAAAGTCTTCTAAGGCCTTGCTTTCTATTGTCACTGTTAATTCTGGATGGACATCTCGTAGCTCCAGAGCCTCCACTTCTGTTTTTTCCAGGCTCTCCCAGGTCTCTGGCTTCTTCTTGTTCTCATTCCAAACAGCCAGCTCATAGATCTTTTGACCTTGAAAGTCTTTTGAAAATTTTTCTCTCTGGAGTTGGAGGCTCCTGTACCTAGTAGTTCTGGATGCTAATTCTGGAGTTGAATTTTCTAGCCACTCCTCACTACCAGCTGAAACTCCTTGCTCCTGTGTACTATCTGTTAAACACATAGCTGATCTGACTGGGGTTTGAAGATGCAATTCTGGGGCAGAAATTTTCCCAGGTATATCTTGTGGGTTCTGGAGTAAAGACCTGGCTTCTGAAGGAAATGAATCTATTTTTGCCTTTGTGGAAGGGAGAGCCTGTGCACTCAATTCAATCACTACTTTACTTGGAGTTTCACTTCCTGCCATCAATTTCTTGGACTGTTCAGCCTCTTTATTCATCATTAGCAACTTAGGCTGTTCTAATTCTCCTTCCCACATGAACCTGTTCCCATGATTTAAATTAGAATCTTCTATGCTGAGGGGCCCAATGTTGTACCCTGCTCCTTCTTCAACTATCCCCTCAGAAAGCTTTGCTACCCTTCCTTTTAGTTCACTGTTTGTCTCTACCTCAATTTCTCCACAATCCTCAGAATGGTGGAGCTCTTGGCTTTCTTTTTTCTGGTTACCAGATTCTATGAGGTGGATTTCTACCAACTTCTGCGATTCCTTGGTATAGCAGTGTATATCTAAGAGCCGAGGGACTGGTTCTACACCAGGTGGCCCTGGCTCTCCCAGATCAAGCTCAGTTTTCTCCTCTGGAGATATATCCCTATTAGTGTCATTCTGGAAAGAACTAGAAGTCCACATGGCCAAAGTGTCTGTCTTTGGGGTAAGAGTTTCATAAGACCTGCTTTGACACAACCTTGTCAGAGGCTGTAAGAAGCCATAGCTGCTCTCTCTGCTTTTTGGGTCTATGTGTTCTACAACTGACCATTTCCCTAAGGACACCAGAGTTTTTGCAATGGGCTTTTCAGAGTTGTTGACTATAGTATCTTGAGACTTCTCTTGGGATACACTGTTGCTTGAAGTAGAAGAGGTGTCTGAACTTTCAGCTCTAGAGAGGTTGCTATTTTCCCCATTGGCCAATGGACCACCACTCAGCTTAGTCTCAGAGACCCCCTTTCCACCACTACTGTAGAATATGTCATACAGGTCCTTAGCATTGGCTGTGGCTAAGCATGAATTTCGCTTCTCCAATTTTTTGGCTTGTTCACTGAACACACTTGAGAGGGGTGGAGGAGGACGTACTAACACAGAGAACAGGGTCTGGTCCCGGTCACTCTCACTCACCCCAGGAGCTGTCTCATCAGAAGGAATGGCAGCTGGCTGTGCTGAGGCCCTGATGGCTACAGGCAATATTGGGTTCAAAATGTTAGGACCCAGGAGGCCAGGGCTGAGAGTCTGAGATACAGCTGGGCTTGATTTTACTGGAGCCAAGACACTTGCTTGCGTAGCAGACGGGGCAGCTGGATGAGGTATGGCTGGGGGTGGTGGAGGGGGTGGGGGTGGAGGTGGTGGAGGTGGTGGTAACATTTGCTCTGGTATATGGGACGGCTCATTCTTCTCAGCCAGCACCATTTTTTCCTCAGGAGACCCTTTTAGAATCACCTCTTCCCCTCCAAATGCTTTGGAGATGATGTCTGGAGGCAAGAGCAGATCAGCTGAAGACTCTTTAACTACTGGCAGAGGTTTAGCAGTGGTTCCAGAGGATTTGATGGACAAAAAGGTGTTAAGAGGAGCTGGTTTGCTCACTGTGGCTGAACCTGACTTGCGGAGTACTGTGGATGGAATAGGCAGGTTGGGTCGGATCTTAGTCTGTGTTGAAGTTGTCACAACAGGCATCCAAGGGCTGGTATGTGCAACAACAGTTTTCCCAGAGAGCTTGATTTTGATGGGCTTTGCCTTTCCAGTTTCAGTTTTGCCATCCTCTTTGTCCTTACTGCTTTCCATGATCTCTTCTTTAGGGATACCTGGGGCAACCACTGAACTTTTTTCCTCCTCTTTTTCTGGCTTCTTCCAGCTGAATTTCCCAAAAGAAGATGATGTTGGTGAATCCTTCTTTACCTCTTCTTTTAATTGGAGTTTGATGCTGGTGTTCCTTTTATTTTCAGCTTTTCCAAGGGAGTTCCTACCCTCAGAGAGTTGGTCTTCTAATTCCTCAGAGACGGTGTCATCATCTTTTACTTCTTTCATGACTTTTGTCTTTTTTTCTTTTTTCTCCTCCTTTGGTTTCTCACTAAGTTTGCGCTTTAGCTCACTCTGCCTTCGCCGTTCTGTCTCTAGGACCACAGCTAAGCCAGCTTGGCGGTCCAGATTACGCCGCTCCTCATACAATGGGTTTTCGTCCACATATTTCTAGGAAGAGAAAAGATAAAGGTTCAACAACTAGTCAAAATACTATAAAAGAGAAAATCTTGGACCCACTGGTACTAGAATTCATTTAGTAGAAATCCCTAGGATAATCGTCCTCAAGGATATAGATGGTTCTACCGGTACAGCATCTCTCACTAGGATTGAGAACTACCTAGTGGTTATATGAAATTTAAAGTGTCAATGACTTTTCTGTCTCTGAAGTTGTTTGATAAAGTCAAAAGGATTTACTACAGAAAACTGGAAACTCCCTGGGCTACTACAAAGACCAACCTTGTATTTCTCATTATGTTGGTGACCCTTCACATGTTGCTCCCCAGAAATTGGATCCCCCAAAAATTCCTCACAGAGCTGGCAGTAAAATCCAGTGATGGGAATCAGAAACTCAGAGCCTAGAAGAAGTAAAAAAAAAAAAAAAAAGTCAAAAGAATAAGTTGTTTCCACCTACAATGACAGTAACCAAAGGAAATCCCATCACCCTTCTGCAATAAAATGGTTATAGTATAGAGGACCTTACCTACTTTGAAGTCAGAAGTAGCATTTAGGTGAATCCCAATGGCATAGGCTTCCCAATCTAAGGCTTGAACTCTATACCTCTATTCCTTCTACCTCTTGGGAACACTAACTGGTTAATTCAGGAGTCTCCTGTGCCAGACCCATTCCTATTGCTGATTCTCCTCAAACTCTAATTAGTACAAAGCATCTTAGGAGATTTAAAAATTATACTCCCAAACAGCCCACTATCATTTATATAAGGATCTCTCATGTTGGTAATTAATTACTCAGGAACTCTATCTTCTATAAGTCTAAAAGACATAGTAGCAGCACTGGCTACCTGTTAAGGTAAGAACTTGAAAAGTTTAAAGACAAAGAAACTTTCTACTTCTCAACTGTTTAAATGGAAATCACTCCTTAATAACAATGACTTAAAATATTTTATAGTTCTTAGTTGAAAAGGCAGTTAAATCACTGCATCTCTTACTGTACGTTTTTTACCTACATTTCAAGTAAGTAAGATATGGGTGCATAAGCCAATGATAATGACAGTTCTGCTATATTTTAAGTGTATGTGTTTAATATCTGTTTTATTTTTAGCCATATGGGTAGAGATCACTGTCTTATACATCTCTTTCTAGCTTCAGGACCCAATATACTATTTTGCACACGGAAGGCATTCTTACATAGCTTGGGTAAAAGGAATGGCTGTCTCATGCTATGCTGCTTCCTAGCACCTTAGTTCAGGGACACCTCTTCCTTGGCTGAACATAAGGAAATCACAAAGAAGACAGAGAGGAAACATACCTTTTGCTGGGACAGTTATCTTGTCAGTGCGCTTTACAGCATCTTGCTTGGCCTCACTGTGGGTCTTTGAAGCCCAAGGTCTGTTGTAGGGATCCAGTGTCTATTTGTAAGAGGCAGAGGCGCTCACACAACAGCACTAAAAACTCAATGACCTATTTTTCTTTTTTTCCCCCACACATAAGACCAGGGGACCAGAAGCCCCAGTTACCCACCCCCACCCACTCTGCCAACTGTTTAAACGGAAATCACCTGTGGAAAAGGTAAACACATGTTAGAGCAAGTACTAGAAAAAGATAAAATGAAACAAAAAATCAGGTACTCAAGGAATCAAAAGAGGCAGAAGCCTCACTTACACTTGTTATGGTGTTTAGTTACAGGCAGGTCCCCTGGACTGAGCCCCGGGGATGGTGTCTCCTTTGTTGGTATTTCTTGGCTCTTCAGATTGGGGCTCCTGCCCATATGAGAATATTTCATTTTCCAGCTTTGTAATGCAGATAGGGATATAGAGGTTTGAGGGAAGTGAGGGTGAGAGTGGAAATAACAGAGGCAGGATACCTACCTGTGTGTGCTTCTTATTGTGCATATGGGTGAAGAAATCAAACATGGTTCCACAGATGGTGTTGCAGTCTTTGCACCAGTGATTGCCAGCATCGTAATACTCATACACAGCAGTGAGCTGATCAGATTGCTTAGTTGCTGACTGGGGGCTTTCAGCAGGCTTGGGGCTCTTAGTACGGGACTTCTCATTGTTTACCTTTGACTCCTAGAGGGGAAAAATCTGCATTTACAAGGAACTCAAGGCAATCTAGATCTGTCTTCTCTGAAAAAAGCGGCCATAAGAATAGAAATATGGCCATATGACCATATTTCCAAAGCCTAAAGATGCACAAGCTAGGGGGAACCCCAAGAGAAACATGTTTCCAAGGCTCAGACTCCATAGTGCTATCACATCGTGGAGAATAAATCATAATGGCAAATATATTTACTTACATATCCTAAAAGATCTCTAGAATAATACCCAAGATTATAGAAACACTGGCTTTCTCTGGAGAGGGGAAGTGAAGAATAAAAGGTAGACAAGAGTCTTTTCACTGTATACCTTCTGGCAGATGTTGAATGTGTTACCTATGCAACTAAATATGTTAGTTAAATTTCATCAGAATGGCAACTAGGGAGGGAAGAAAAAACAAAATGGAAAAGGTAACTGACAGGTTAAACAAAGCAAATGCAGAAAATAGGTGACAGTGAATTCACTTATCACATGCATTCTGTTATGGAAAAGTGGAAAGTAGGGTTGGTGTTATACATAGATAAAGCAGAGAGTCATCTATGTGGGATGACTTAAAAGAATTAAATATTCTTGGGTAAATTTAAATGGGTAAAATATTCCTAACTGCCTAAAATATCACTGTTAAAATTTAATATCTTTGTGTTAATTTGAATCCTCTTTTAAAACATACCAACTCTCTAACATTAAATTATCAATAATAAATATCTTAATATGAATTAATTTGTTACTAAGCTGGGAACAAGGCACTCAGGAAATGAGAATTTTGGTTAATGTTGGGAAGGAAGGCATAGAAAAAAAGATAATTTTACAAAAAAGAGGGTTAAGTATGATTGAGGTTCTATAGAAGACAAGTTGAGGGAACTGGGCACCTGGAATATTAGCTGGGTGGGAGAAGAAGACAGGATAGAGAAGAGGAAACAATTAGGGCTTCAAAGATACTCTTTCCCTACCAGAGCCTTATTCAAGACTCACTAAAAAGATCACACCCAACAGGTAGGGGATGGGAGAATTCATATACTGCTGGTGGGAACATTAACTAGCACCATCTTCTGGAAGATAATCTAGGAACACATAGTACATATCTCAAATTTTTGTATACTCCCTTTGACATAGCAATTCCACTCCTTGACTTTTACCCTAAGAAAATTATGTCAAACAACAGGTGATTTGAATGGTTAAATAAATTTTGCTATCCACACAACAAAAACAACAAAAATCAAGGGGGTTAAAAATATTATACAAGTATGCTTATCGACATGGAAAGGTGTTCATGATATACTGAGAAAAGTAACAAAATACACTTGATTAATCAATGAAGATATGCAAATAAAGGTAGAATGATAAATGTCACTTTATCCAAAAGTCCTTCCCTAACCACTTGATACCCCTTATCCTGTTTTCCTTTTTAAGGTACTCACCATTACCTAACATGTACTTGTTTAATTTTTGTCTGTCTTTTTCTATTCCATGAGAATATGAACCTTGTCTATATTGTTCCCTGCTATACTTCCCATATCTAGACTAGTATCTGATGCTTTCTTGGTGATCAATTAATATTTGTTAAATGAATTAATGGAGAGTGTTTGAAATAATATACACCAAAGTATTAATAATAGTTGTTTATAGGTAGATAGAATTATGCATTTTACATATTTTTCTGAAATGAACAGAAAGAGAAAGAAAATGTCAAACCAACTGTACATTGTAAAGAGAGGCAAAGAAAGAAGAAATACCAAAGACAGGTATGAAAGAAAGGTTGTAGATACAACATTCCCTACAGTTGAGATAAAAACCAAGAGCATATCCCTGGTTAGCTTCAGAGAACATGAAGACTCACCCCAATCAATATTATAGATTATCATGGGATGGGTGTATAAACAGAACCCCAATACATAAGTTGACTACAAAGGGCCAGAACTTTTAAGCTCTTCTCCCATCAAAGGTGCTGGACTCGAGACCCACGTATAAAAAGACTACAATCCTACCTGATTGAAAAAGAGCACTCTCCTAGGAAGACAAGGAGAAATTAGAGCTTGGGTGATAGATAATAAAGAATACATCCTCTTTCCTATCCTTCAACATTACTTGAACATGTAAGTGAGACAAACATACTGCATGCCATGGAAAATACAAAGAAAAATAATCTATACTCTTATCCTTTAGAAGCTCTCATTTAGTGGAGGAGACGGACATGAGAACAGTCTTTAAGTACAACAGAATGAAATAAATCTTACAAAGAAACAATACTATATTATGTGAATGTTAAACAAAGGTGGAATTCTGGGAATTCTTCATGACGGAGGCAGTATTCAAGTTGGGTGTTCATGGATGAGTGCGGTTGAGAGAAAGATTATTCCAGGCTTAGAGGATTATTAATGCAAAATCAGAGAGGCATAAGAGCATTCTGCACATCTGGAAAACTACAAGCATTTTGAGGTGGTAGGAGTGTAAGATGCAGTGTAATGTTTCTTAAGCAATAGTTATTACTATGTGCCAGGCACTGAGCTATGTACTGGGAACCATTAATATATTGGAGAATAAGACAGGTATGGCCCCTGATCTTTTGAACCTTAAAATCTAGGCCGGGCATGGTGGCTCATGCCTGTAATCCCAGCACTTTGGGAGGCCAAGGAAGAAGGATCACTTAAGGCCACAAGTTTGGAACCAATCTGAGCAACATAGTGAGACGCTGTTCCTACAAAAAAACAGAAAAATCATCTGGGCATGGTGGTGCGTTCCTATGGTCCCAGCTACTTGGGAGGCTGAGGTAGGAGGATCACTTGAGCCCAGCCCAGGAATTTTAGGTTACAGTGAGCTATGGTGACATCACTGCACCCTAACCTGGGCAACAGAGTGAGATCCTGTCTCAAAAAAATAAAAAGAAATCTAATTGGGGGAACACATATAATTATATAATTACAACTGTTGTAATAAATGCTTAGAAGGATAATTACAAGGGATCATGAAAGTGTACATCAGGCAAATATAACAGTCTGAGGAACCAGAAAAGAGAGTAAGGAAAGTCATTTAAACTGAGATCTGAAGGATGAATGTGAGTTAGTTAGAAGAGAGTATAAGGAAAGAGTTGGGTTTGCATGGTAAAGAAAGGGAATGAAGGGATGACACATTTAAGGAATGAAATGAAACTATAGTGGGCAAGGCAGAAAAAGACATAAAATGAGGCTGAAGAGATAGCGATATGTATCAATATCACTGGCTATATGTGGCAAAAGGATTAAAAATGTAGCAATACAAACAAGAATTGATGTGGCTTGCACTTGGATGGTAATGGAGATAATAAATTGGATGGAATTAAGATTTACTTTGTCGGGGGAGTTGACAATTTGTAATTGATCAGATGTGAAGCACTTAGGGAGAGACAAGCATTAAGAATACTTTTTAGGGTTGGTCTGAGGGCAGTGCTGTTTACAACTAATTGATCACAAACCAGTTACAGATTCCTTTGTTTGTTCTCCACATCCACTGCTTCACTTGACCAGCCTTAAAAAATAAGTAACTAAATGAAAAAGAATGCTTTTTAGATTATTGGCATGAAAACTGCTGGATAGTGGTACTATTCACTGAGAATGGGTAACACGTGAGGAAGAAAAAGTTGAAGGGAGATTGAGCACAATCATTAATTTAGTTTAGGACATGATTAATTTGAGATGCCTATGAGACAATGAAGTGGAAATGGTACGTAGGCTGTTAGACACAACATGCATTTTAGCTAGAATATAACCTGAAGTTATCACATGCTCTTTTAGAATAGAATGGGATAAAATGGGCTAGGGAGAAAGAGAATTCTGGCAAACTGGACTAGATTTGAGTCCTGAGAAACTCAAATATTTAAAAATCATGTATCAGAGGACAGATAGCAAAGGAGACTAAGCAGCAAGAGCCAGTGTACTAAGAGAAAAAGTGTGACAGAAACCAAGGGAAGAAAGCATTTGTAGGAGAAAGTAGTTCTCTGCATCAAATGCTGCCGACTGAATCATATCCACTAGCTTTAGCAACATGGTGGTGACCTAAACGTGAACCTGGTTGCTAAACATGAAGTCCCAAACGGGTATATACAAGTTGTGAGAAGATTAGAAGCCAGACTGGAGTAGGTTAATACACTGACTGCCACACTAGAAAAAAAATTTTTTCCTTGGGGCCACAATGTTTTATTATAAAAATAGAATAAAAACTTTGAAAACAAAATGATTCTAATTTCATGAATAATTTGTTATGTTTTTATTGTTTTCTGTGCATGAGTTATATGCAACTTGAAAAATAGTTCACATAGCTCCCAAGATAAAGAGATGTGTGAGTTACATATGCTTCATGAGGCCCCGGGCTCAAACTAGTGTGAGTTAAATACAACTCACACGACAGTTAATGTGTTAAGGAGTAAATGCTAGAACAAGAACATGGAAGGCCCTGAATACTGAGGATTTTGGTTTCTACTTTGTTAGCAACAAGGAACTGCTGAAAGTCTGAAGGAGAGTACCATGATCCAATCTATACTTTAAGAAAATTACTACCAAGAGTAAGAATAGGTTGGAAAAACCAAGCTAAGAAAATAGTCAGAAAGCTATAGGAGAAGTCCATGGGGAAAAAGACTGTAAGATAATAGAAATGGAAAATTTGAGTTGTTACCTTGTTGTTGGAGGAGTTTGGAGACGATGACACTCTTTCTGGGCTCTTAGATTTTTCTGCTTTCCCAGGCTTCTCTGTAGGCTCTTTACTGTCATTTGAAGACTTCTGGGATTTATCAAAGATGTTAATTCCCAGGATCTGAGCCACTTTGTCCAGTTCAGATTGCTTCTTTTCTGCCTCTTCTGCCTCTTGTCGTAGCTCTGCAATGTCCTTCATAATGTTATCCTGAAGCCGACTCACCTCCACCAGGAGTGGGTCTTTGTGGCCATCCTTCTCCCTTCGTTTCTTGCGCAGCATTTCTCCTGAGTAGTCAAATGTTGTCAAAAAGAAACACAGGGAAAATAAGTTGAGTCATTTTTTTGTTTATAAGTAGTAATCTATCGGGGCTTATGGTTACAAAATTTTTCTCACCAAAGTTTCTAAGAGTAAGTACGACTCTCCTTTTACATGGGCTGGTGTGAGTGAAGCTTCTATGAAGGTAAAGGATGAGTAATTATATTATCTTTTGCATAAGGGTTATTAGTTTAGGATCTACGGACAGGCTTCAGGGACTCCATGAACTTCCATAATAGTAAATAAATACAAATTTGTGTGTCTGTCCCCCCCAAAAAGTTAATTCACACTCTAACTATGAATTCAGTAGCTATCTTCTTTTCGGAGAGTCAAATGATTATTCAGAGGATAAAAAACATTTAAAGCCACATATTTGACTTTATCTGACTTAAGGGCACTTTAACAATTTCTTCATTGAGTTTTAGGTTTTGCCTCAGGCTCACCCAATGTTACCTTCCATTCTAAATTGTAGGTTCTCATTTTAATTATCACAGGATAAATAACTAAATTTATCATCTATAAACAGTCAAAATCCATACATTTTAACTAAATTTCTCATCCTAAAACTGTCCAAACCTAGACAGAGGCAATTATATCTTCTCCTACTCTCTGTTCTTTCATACTATCACCAAGCTGCAGTATTTAGAAGCCTTGTCAGGTACTTTCCTCACTATGTACATGAATTCCTAAAAGTATAGATGTAGAGATGGAATAAAAAGTGAGGCATCATGAAACATCTTTTTGTGCCAAAAAGTAAGGAAATACTAAAAAAAAAAAAATGATGGGGAAATATCAAAAGGACACAGGAGGCCAGGCACGGTGGCTCATGCCTGTAATCCTAGCACTCTGGGAGGCCGAGGCAGGCGGATTGCTCGAGGTCAGGAGTTTGAAACCAGCCTGAGCAAAAGCGAGATCCCGTCTCTACTAAAAATACAAAGAAATTAATTGGCCACCTAATATATATAGAAAAAATTAGCCAGGCATGGTGGCGCATGCCTGTAGTCCCAGCTACTCAGGAGGCTGAGGCAGGATTGCTTGAGCCCAGGAGTTTGAGGTTGCTGTGAGCTAGGCTGACACCATGGCACTCACTGTAGCCTAGGCAACAAAGTGAGACTCTGTCTCAAAAAAAAAAGAACACAGGAGCCAACTCAAAGGGGTTCCTACTGGTCAAACTGGGAACAATTTGAGCATGAAATAAATAATGATAATAAAAAATTATTAAATGAGGAATCCATGAATTCACACTGATATAAATGAATCAACAAATGGGAGTAGGGGTTGGGAAGTTCCTCCTTACCACAGAAAGCCAACATTAGTAGAAGGAATGATGATATTAGAAAATCACTATTCAATAACCATCATAATATTAACTGATTCAGGCAAGAATCACCAATGAATGCTAAAACTAGTGGGTGGAAGCTTGAGGAGAACTGAATATTTACACAGCCTCAAACTATCCCCTCTATAAGATACTTACTAATTAAAAAGAATAAAATAGTAAGTTTAAAGTAGAGAAACCTGGCAGACACCATCTTAACAAAATGATTATAAAGTTAACATCACCAGTAATGGGACAAATCAACATATGATATGAAGTCAGTATCACTTCTATGATATTCCTACCAAAAATGAATAATCTGAATTCAATCATAAAGAAACAAGACAAACCAAAATCAAGGTACATTATAAAATATGTGACCTCTTCTCTTCTAGAATGTCAGTGTTATGAAATAAAAAGACTTTTAGGAACTGTTATAGATTAGACTAAAAGAACATGACAACTGAATGTGATGAATTATCTTATACTTTCATTTGGTATAAAGAGCATTATTGGGACAACTAACTGGTAAAATAGGAATAAGGCTGGTAGACTGGATAACAGTATTACTTTTAATTTCCCAATGTTGATAAATATATTATAGTTATGAATGTAGATTTTCTGTTGTTAGGAAATACACCCTTAAGAATTCAGGAGTAAAAGAGCATTATATCTACAACTTTAAATCTAAAGGAGTTCAGGAAAAATTACACACACATAGACATGATTGAGAGAGAGAAATAAAATGATAAAGCAATTGTAGTAAAATGTTAGTAATCTGGGAGAAGAGTACCTGAGAATTCTTTGCACTGTTATTGCAACTTTTCTGTTAAGTCTAATATGGCAAAAAATTTTTTTAAAAAGAGGCTTCAGGTCACTGAACCTATCTGAGAGTATCAACACCCCTCCATTTGGGTCACCTATTTCTGTTACTACAAAAAGGCAGTCATGCAAAGGAGCTGTTTGGTACCTTGTTGTTTATGAAGCCGCTCCAATTCGGTCCTGAGATAGTACATCTTCTTCTGGCGGGCTTCCCGGTCACTCTTTAGTTTTTCCCTCTCTTCAATAACCTGCAAAGTACAAAATGGCAAGAGAGTTCTTCATCCTCCAACATCCTCCCTTTTCTATTCCTCTTTTCCAGAAACCCTTGTGCTAGACGTTATCTGAATGTAGGGTTCCAAAACCTGCACACAGCAGCTCTGACTTCATAGTCAAAGTGATGTTTCATTCCCATCTAAGTTCCAGAATAGAGTCATCTTTTATCTTTCTTTTCAGAATCACATTGCCCAGAAAGTATTGTTTTTATGTAGGAAGCACTTAAGGCCACTAAAAGCAACTATTAGATAGTGGTTCTGAGCCCCAAAGAGAACCATGGAGAAGGGAACTAACATGTGTTATGGATGAGGCACAGTATTAGCTACATTTTATATTTCATGTTATTTAATCCTACAACCTTTTCCCTATTTTATAGTAGGAAAACTGAAGTTGTACATGATTAAGTAACTTATCTGAAGTTACATCTACTCTTACCCAGTAAGGAGATTTAAAATCCAGGTATATCTGCACAAAAGCTCATAATCTTTCAACTATATTACTATCATCTAATGGAAAAAAGCAAATTTGGCTTGTCTATAATAGGCCAATGTATAATAACAGGTCTATGTATTATCAGCCCTGACTTGGGTGCGCTAGGCTCTTAAAGGAAAAGTAAAGAGAAAGTCCTTAATATCCAAACATTGTCTCTGAGGTCTTAAGTTTTATCTTTATTGAACCTATTCCTCTTTTCAACAAAAGACTCCAATAAAACTAAAGACAAGTTCAGGGAAGCTGAATACAACAGAAAATTAAGAGGAAGTATTTTTTGTCTTCCCAAGGATTGGCTAAATTTTTTTAATTGGGAAAAAATAAGATTGTCCCTCCAATTTTCTTTTCCTTTTTTTTCTCCTCAGGTCTTAATTTTTTTATGAGTTAATCAAATTTATATACATTACAATTTTATGTTCCTAAATAAAGTGACTTACTATCTATTAAAGACCTTTAAAATTAACAGTATGTATTAATTTTTCCATTCAAAATTCTTCTATTCTGCATTCCTCATCCCTATATAATTTTCACTTACTGCTCTAAATTACCAGAATTATTAAATATTAGAGAAACCACTGCTCCCTTCCCACAGACCGGAAACCCAAGGAACCTTAATATAAAAACTGCTTTTTAAAAATTATCATAAAAATATATTGTTATTATTCCTGGCCTCTAAGATAAACCAGAACAAGCAAAATTTACCTCTTAATCTGCTTTACTTATCAAGCAACAAGTAATTATTTGCTTTTAACTCCCATAATCATTATAGGAGAATGATCTAGAACTCACTGGGATGAAATAGGTTTACTGATTCTCCTTCACCCAACCCAATTTTGGTTCCTCACTCCATGAGGACATCATACTGAAGACCTGAAGCCTAACTCCTACCCAGTGTTTTAAGATAATATGGATAGAGAAATAAACTGAAAAAAAAATTCTAGCAATCAGTAGGACCTAGGGCCAGACTTCTGTTTAATCCTACAGACTAAACATGTGAGAAGAACAGAAGAGCTATATACATTTCTTTGGGTAATGATAGCAGGCTCCAAAGGACTTAAAGTGAAAGGGCCTTACAAATTTCCAGCCCCTCCTAAAAGGCAAATACAAATTTATGGTAAAGTAGACAACTCAGCCACAGGATACACAAAGCTAATACTCACCTTCTGCTTCTGGGAAGCACGGTTCTTCTCATCAGAGATTTTCTCTGGATTATATCTTATGAGTGATGGGATGGACACCTGGACAGGCACTTGGGCCGCAGGAATTGAGCCTAGCACTGACTCCTCCTGCTTGGGCTCATCAGGGGTCACAGTAGGGATCACACGGAGATTAGGACGGCTACGAGTAGCTTGTTTGGTTACTGGCATTATCCTGTGTGGTTCCGGTAAAGAGTGGTTTGATGGTTGAGAGGTGGGGTACATGGGCCATCTTGAGGCTGCGTATGCCATGTAGTGCCTATATGCATCAAAGGAGGCAGGTGGAATGGCAGGTCCCTGGTAGTTTGGAGGTATCCGAGCTGCAGCAAACTGAGAGGCCCTTGGCATATGAAACTGAGATAAAGAAGCAGAATGTGGAAGTCTAATTGGGGCAGATGGGGCTGATGGCAACATGCACCTGACTGCAACAGATGACTGAAACCCACTGCCAACCACCTCTGGGCCTGAAATATGACCCATTGGATGGTCAGACTTTAGGAATGGGGGGCTGTTTTTTGTGAGTAGGTAAGGATCCACAGGGGAGGCTGGGTGTGGATGGGACACCTCCGGGGAGAGAGTATTGCTATGGTGTGCATCCCTGCTCTCCAGTCTGTGGGGATCTGAGGAGCGCCGATTAGCTGAGAAATGGTGGTCAACTGAGGAACAGCGGTCAGCTGAAAAATGCCGGTCAACTGAGGAACAGCGGTCAGCTGAGGATCGTGATGATGGCTTCTTGCCATGAAGCCGCTCCTGGGTGCGCGCAGCCAGTTTACTAATTTCTGCTACTCCAATATCCAGCCCTATGGTCTTAAGCAAGTCATGAATCTTGGCGTATTCAGGATTGGTCTCTTCTAGAGATTCTAGCTTTACAGCTGGCGCTGAAGAGGGCAGGGAGCTTGTCTTTTGCCTCATAACTTCACTTTCAGAGGCCCCAAGGGGCTTTGGTAGAGATTCTGCCTTTGAGTCCTCTTCTTCATCCCCATAGAGAAATTTCTCCTCATCCTCAATGTCAGGGAAGCTACGTCGCCTTTTTTCCTGTGTACTGGTAGAATCAGCCAACATGCTCAGAATGCGGGAAAAACCACTGCCATCCTGGCTAGCTTTCTCATGGGGCAGTAAGAAGTCTGTGTTTCGCTCAGGTCCCTCAGCTTTCATATCCAGTTTCTCCTTGCGGCACAGAAAACCTCCAAATTTTTCTCTGAGAGGACTATTGTCTTTGGGCATTCCAGGGAGGGGACTCCATTGGTAGAGGTTGCCCTGAGGTTCCTTCAGGGAAGTCTCTACCATAGTCCCCTTGTTTTCAATCTCTGAGGCAAAGGCAGCAATAGCACCACTTAGTGGAAGAGATGGGTGTCCAGAGTAGAGGGGGTGATCCTGGCTGGAGCTGGTACTGCTGGAAAAACTCTCCAGCTGCAAAGACAAAAACAACTGATTTAGCCCCTATGCAGAATCTCAGAACCCTAGTAATTGAGATAAATATTAATACCTAAATACTTTGTTCTTTCTCACTTAATAGGGAAGATATAAGTATGTATAAAAGGGAGGTAAAGTATCCCCAGCCAGGTTTAAGATATGGGTCCTCATGGCCCTTGATGTCTCTGCTATAGCAAGGAGAAACAGGAAATGAGGTAAATTAAATGAAATCCCTACCTTTGACAATATTTTATAGAATTTATCAAAGAATCTGAATTCCAAAGGATTTTAAAGATCCTCTAGCTTGTTTGTTTTCTTCTCTATGGATCCCCAAAAGAAAAAAACACACAAAAGTGGAGCTGCTTTGGCTGAAGTGGGGATAGGAAACTCTGGGAACCTAACTGATCAGCCTAGGAACGTCCTCAGAAGACTTTAGCTCTTGAGAGGACACCTAAAAACTAGCGGTCTTGCCTAAACATACTTTCACAGGTAAGGGAAAAAATATCAAGGCTCAAAATGGTGAGGTGACCTAAAAATCACACAGCAAGTTGGTGGCAGAGGTGAGTCTAAAATCAGAATCACCTGATTTCTTATCTAGTGTTCTACAACTCATCCATTTTGTCTTCTCTCTAAAGAAAGATAAGGAAATTGTGATCATCTCCTCCCCTTGCCCTTCAAGCTTCCTTTCCAAGAAACCCATATTCAAAGATTCCTAACAGGGCTGTCCAATTTAAGGAAGAAACTTACAACAGTTACTACTCTCGAAAACATCTGTTTAGAAAGCCTATTATATGGCAATAGAAACTCTCTACTGATGCATAATGAGGCCTACAGTTTCATTTGGAAAGTCCTAGAAAGTACAGCACATAGGCATAAATAACAATGTTGGCCCAGCATATATTACAAACATACTATTAGGGACACAGCCCCCACAGAAGTAACCAGGCTTTAAGATAGTAGAGGGACTACTAAGAGACCCTAGAAGATATGCAGCAGAGACCTGCATGGAAGGCTCTATGTCCACCTCAATCCGCTTCTTCAAAATGGACTTCTTGGGCATCACAGATACTTCCTCAGGCCGATGCAAAGAATATCCTGACTCCGATGCTGTTAGGACACCTGATAATCCAGGGATGGGACAACTAGTGCCATCACCATCAACTTCCACCAGCTCCTGACTCAAGCTCCTACTTCGTTCTTCCTCTTCCTCTCGCTTTCGCCGGGCAAGATCCAGCTCTCGAAACTCAGGGTCTAGAAACCTAGGGCTTGGGCTTCGTCTACGCTGTCGATAGTTGCGAGTCCCTGATGTAAAACTTGAGTGATCCCCTCCCATGCTGTGTATCTTCTCTGTGTCATCATAACGGACTCTTTTGGCTTCCCGACTCCTCTCCTCAGATCGTATAGAGTAGGAGCCTTTGAGTTTTTCTCTATTTCGATCTGTTCCCCGCAACAGCTCATCATGACAACTGATATGGGGACTATAATCAGATCGATGCAGGAAAGTTTCTCTTGTTCGGTAGTCCTCATCAAGTTGTCCCAAGAAGGGACTGAGAGGCTCCTCCTCCTGGGAAATATATCTCTCAAGACTCCGAGAGCATTGGGAGCTTCGAGTGAAGACAGAGTCATCAGTCAGATCATCCCTGAAGAAAGAGACAAGCATCACTGAATATAATGGACTTGAAAAGAACAAGAGTATACAAAGCTAAGAGATCGATATTTGTCAAGAGGACTCTACAGTGCTTGGGGCAAAAGACCATAAGCATGAAGTCCAAAAACAGATCTATGTATAGTATGTAGAACATTTTCTCTTCCCCAGTGGTGCAGGCAGCTTCAGCCTCTAACCAAGGGGTGATATCACCAATACATCTATTAATAGATACACCCCTTAAGCTAATTTCCTTGACTAGACTTTGGGGATGCAGAGTATCATGCAGGTTACGCAACTCCACCTTAGCTAAATTTTAGCTCTTTGCTGGTAAAAGTGTGGTATGGACCAGCAGCATTAGCGTTACCTGGGAATGTTTTAGAAATACAGATTCTTAGGCTCCATCCCAAGCTTACTGAACCAGAATCTGCATTGTAACAAGATCTCCAGGTATGTGTTTGCACTTAAAGTTTGAGAAACAGGCAGAGGCGGGCAGATCGCTCGAGGTCAGGAGTTCGAAACCAGCCTGAGCAAGACTCCGTCTCTACCAAAAATAGAAAGAAATTAACTGACCAACTAAAATATATATATACAAAAAATTAGCCAGGCATGGTGGCACATGCCTGTAGTCCCAGCTACTTAGGAGGCTGAGGCAGTAGGATCGTTAAGCCCAGGAGACTGAGGTTGCTGTGAGCCAGGCTGATGCCACGGCACTCACTCTAGCCTGGGCAAGAAAGCGAGACTCTGTCTCAAAAAAAAAAAAAAAAAAAAGTTTGAGAAACATCAGTCCAGATCAGTGGTTTTTAAGCTGTGTTCCATAGAGATTCTAGAGTTCTCAGGAGTTGTTAAAAGGAAGGAGGTGCTGGAAAAGCAGAACTGGCAGCATTCTAGTCCTTCTACTTCATTTAAATCACTAGCCCCAACCTTATATCTGTATAATATTTCATCTGGAAAAAAAGATGTTTCACTGTGGGGGAAAAATTTTTTTTAATTGATCTAATTAGCATGATTTTTTCATACATTTTAGAAGGTTCTTCAATGCTTTGTCTTGCTGGCTCACATATTAAAACCACAAAACTCCCTCACAGCCTGTTTTGTCACTCTCTTTCCTTCCTTGCCTGGTTATGGACAAGCACTCTGCTAATCTTGGGCCCAGGAAAGAGTAAGTGATGGTTTACTTCACTACATAGTTTTATTTCATAGAAACAACAAAGGTCTTGGATCTTCACAGCATGAAGGGAAAAATACAGGATGGGACATCTGTCCTTTCAGCTCAGAGCTCTACACTGCACACAATAGTCCAAATTTTGGGGGGCACTGTGGCCACAGAGCTTTTATAGTAGATAGTATTTTAGCAATGGAGTGACTCAACTCATGAACATTCCTCACTGGAAATAGGTTTTATTTTCAGCTAATGTACAGAGTAGAATTTTCTACTCCAGCTATGTTTGATTTTAGAAAGCATCCTTAATTCATTCCTCTTCCTTCCTATTTCATACTATATTGAAATCTTGAAATTCCCCAGATTCTTTGGGAGGACATTGGTAACAGGCACCTGGATTCTGACACGTGGGAAGATTCTGATTTAAATCATAGATCGAAAGAAAGATCCTCTAGCACTTTAAGTATGTAATTTTAAAATAATCTAAATGAAAAATAAAAGTGCTTACAAGTCACTCACATTCCAAAGTGAATTACCATCTATAGGATGGTAATTATTGGTATTTTCTACAGTTTCTAGTAACTACTTTTGTTTTTGTGAGTTTCTAGAAATGACTTTTCGTTGTTTTTTAATAGTTGCCTTCCTATCTCTGGAACTACATTAGCAGAACATCAAAAAGTTGCCTTTTCTTATTCACCAGTCCTGCCTCTGCTCAAAGTTGTATACCTGGACACTAGCTATAAATAAAGTGATGAAAGGCTATCAAGGATTAACTTTATCACATCCTCTATACCAAGAATGCCACATGTGGGAATCCAGGTTCCTGTTATCAATCTCCTCCCCAAGAATCTGGGGAATTTTAAGATTTCAATGTAGTATGAAATAGGAAGGAATGGGAATAAACCAAAGATGATTTTTGAAATCAAATATAACTGGAGTAAAAAATTCTACTCTGTAGGTTAGCTGAAAATAACACCTATTTCCAGTGAGGAATGTTCATGAGTTGAGTCACTCCATTGCTAAAACACTATCTACCAAAGTCTCTGATCATATTAGTGTAGGGGACTAAAACATAGACTCCATGGGTAGTGGCAAGTTCACCTACATTCCCATGTTCAGATCCCTGCTAGAACCATCCCATATCACCATCCAATAGCATACTAGCCCAAGATCTAACCCAGCACTAAATATTAAGAAGCTACAAATAATAAGATTGCTTTCAGAAAGCCTGACTTGAAATCTCCAGCAAAAGGAGGCATAGAACAATGAAATAAGGCATAAAAACATTAAAAAATAAAATAAAATAAAGAGCCATCATGTAAATATAGGCAAAAATCAGGTGGTTTTTTAGAAGTTCATGTTTTTCTTCCCCTAGACTCCCAAAGGATGAGAGAAAGAACCGGATGCAGTAAGAATGAGCCCTAAAAAGGGCCTCATCTCCTATAGCCTAAAATAGTTCAGTGATGGATACTCTCTGAAAGCCTTGGTTAAATCCAACTATTTTCTAAAATAAAGTCTATTTAAAAAATTGTTGAATATGGGTGATGGGTATATGGGAGTTCTCTCTACTTTTCTGTGCTTACAAATTTCCATTAAGATAAAAAATATATATGTCCACATAAAAGCTTATACACAAATGTTCACAGCAGTATTATTCATAAGAGCCAAAAGGTGAAAATAACCCAAATATTATCCATGCATTCACCACTGAATGGACAAAACAAAATGTGGTATATCCAAACAATGAAATGTTATCAGTGATAAAAAAAAAAAAAGAACGCTACAAGCATGGATGAATCTTAACCAAACATTATGCTAAGTAGCCAGTCATAAAGGACCAAATAGTATATGATTCTATTTATATGAAATATCCAAAATAGGCAAATCTATAGAGATAGAAAGTAGATTAGTGATTACCTAAGGCTGGGGGTAAGATGAAGGGAGTAATGGCTAAAAGGTAGATGGTTTCTTTCTGGAGTAATAAAAATGTTCTAAAATTGATTGTAGGGTAGACGTACAACTCTGTGAATATATGGAAAGTCACTGAACTGTACGCTTTCAATGGGTGAATTGTATTGTATACGAACTATATTTCTTTTTTTTCTTTTTTTTTTTTTTGAGACAGAGTCTCACTCTGTTGCCTGAGCTAGAGTGTCATGGCATCAGCCTACCTCACAGCAACCTCAAACTTCTGGGCTCAAGCAATCCTTCTGCTTCAGTCTCTTGAGTAGCTGGGACTACAGGCATGCACCACCATGCCTGGCTAAGTTTTTCTATATATTTTTAGTTGGCCAATTAATTTCTTTCTACTTTTAGTAAAGATAGGGTCTCCCTCTTGCTCAGGCTGGTCTTGAACTCTGAGCTCAAATGATCTACCCACCTCGGCCTCCCAGAGTGCTAGGATTACAGGTCTGAGCCTGTGCTAGGCTGAGCCAGAGTGCTAGGATTACAGGTGCCTGGCCTGTATTTCAATAAAGCTATTAAAAAATGTGTATGGGCTGGGCACAGTGGTTCACATCTGTAATCCCAGCACTTTGGGAGGCTGAAGCAGGGACTACTTCAACCCAGAAGTTTGAAGCTGCAGTGAGCTATGATCATGCCAGTGTACTCCCACCTGGGCAACAGAGTGAGACCTTGTCTCTAAAAAAAATATATGTATATGATTTTTTTAAAAAATCCTTCAGAGCCCTAAATCTCCATTCTTTTCCTTTGATGAATCCCCAAAATGCTTGCAGAAAGGTATTTGCTTCTGTCTAGTCCCCAAGGTAAATCAGAAGGGGGAAAAAAACTCCTATTCCTTCAATCTATGTCAGGTAAGGCATGGAGAAGGAATTAGGAGATAAGAATTCCATGAGTAGAACACTTAATGTGCAAAGTACTTTGATGAACAGGAGAAACAGACCTCACATCCATAAGTCTTTAAAAGCTAAATGTCTCAGTATTTTTCACACAACCTGTTCAAGTTCTCCTTTCAGAATAAGTTACAGTTCTACATACAGGGCTGCTAAAGTGAGGATACTAACAACCCTGGGAACTTGACTGTCACCCAAGCCTGATATAAAACTTAACAGATTCAATAAAGGAAAAGAAAGAATAGTAAGGTCTCAGAAAAAAACAACAACAACAAAACCATTTACATACAAAGGATAAAAAATGGCTTATTTCACTGACTGAAGACTAGACTCACTTTGAGAAGTCATCCTGAGTGTGCCAATTGTCCTGTGGATTAGTTTTAGTGCACAATAATTATCCACACAAACTATACTGAATAGGAGGAAAGGAACATAAATGTATAGGGAGCATAAGTATAAATGATAACCTTGCACCTCCACTTAGAATCTTAATCTCACTTTTCCTCAAGTATACTTGTTTCTCTGAAATACATGACTCTAGAAGATTACTGTCCCAAATTCCCTAAAATTTTAATTTTTATAATTTAAAAATACAATTGGTTATTTAAAGCACACATGCACAACAAAGTTTATGTGAGGGGAGGTGACATTCTAGGCCTAACAAGAGGAAATGCTGAAGTTAACTCAAAACCTCAGCAAGGAAGGAAGACAATCATACCACACACCACCTACCCAGACTGCCTACTCAATCATCTCCCAAAATAGAAGTAGCCAGAAAGGCAAGAGCTGTTGCCTCAATTAAGTGATATAGTCACATACATTTAAGCCCTATCTTCAGAAATTTCAGTGTTATATGACCTAAGACTGTCCTGCCTTGTTACACTGCCTCCACAGCCACTGGAGCTTTGAAGTATATATTACCAATGGCAACACTGGTCCTCAGATTTCCTGCCCAGCTGTCCCCCACCTGCCTGGCTATGCTCTGTGCACCAGTGCACAGACAGACATTACACTGATTTATTGCTACTGCTAATCATTTATGAAAACTCCCAATGTGCTAAGCAGAGACCTAACAGTCTTGACTCTGAGAAAGTGCTTTCCTGCATTGCCATCCTTACTTTTTTACTTTTGTGAGGTGAAAAACACCCAATGTGATTATTTACATCCTATGTATTGTTAAGTTCCTAGTACCTAAGGTCTATATTCAACACTCTGTGGGGTGTAGTTGCCCTTCCTCAGCACTTAGTAGTCATAAAGTAGTAACATTTTTAAAGATCTCTAACTTTCTGTTAATGCTTTATATACTTAATATACATACATATATTAGACATGAATTTATTTTAACACTTTCTGAATCTATATTTCAGCCTGGACAAGCTAAAAAAATATAATTAAAAAAGATTCCCTACTTTGTCCAGAACTTAACTTTGAAGAAGGGACCCACTCAAAGTTTCAGTATTTTAGAATCTTCTCCATCTCAACTGTTTTTGATTTGGGGGAGTCTGATTATGTCTTCTCTGTCTCTTCTTTGTAGTCAGACTAGGATAACCTTTTTGTTTTTTCTTTTATACAATTTATTTAGCAAGAGTCTACATCAATAAACTCTCCCCACACACAAAGCCTTTTTCCAACGTCATACTTTATACTAGAGACATGGACACATGGACACAGGGAATAATTTTAGTGCTGGCACCATCCTTCAAATACATCATTCAGAAAACAGCAATATTTTTGCCTTCAAGTGAGTACAGTGCACCCTGCCTTAGCTAAAACCTACCTGTCCATGTCCTCCAGATTATCCACTGGTGATCCCAGTCGATCACTAAGCCGTCGCCGTTCTGGTGTGGTAACACAAAAGTGATCATTGCCAACAGTGATCCTTAAGCTCTGTTCCAAAGAAGAGTCAGAACGCAGACCAGGAGAGCGTCTCTATAAAAGATAATATGGTTAGTCAATACAGCCAAGACATCCCTATTCCCAAAACATTCTCCTTCCTAGTCACGATGCTGATGCTGTGGTCCAACAAAGTGAGAAATAGTTATGGTAAGACATTACTCTAAAAGTAAAGTGCTGGCCAGGCACGATGGCTCACGCATGTAACCCTAGCTCTCTGGGAGGCCGAGGTGCCTGGATTGCTCGAGGTCAGGAGTTCGAAACCAGCCTGAGCAAGAGTGAGACTCCATCTCTACCATAAATAGAAAGAAATTAATTGGCCAACTGATGTATATAGAAAAAATTAGCCGGGCATGGTGGCACATGCCTGTAGTCCCAACTACTCGGGAGGCTGAGGCAGGAGGATCGCCTGAGCCCAGGAGTTTAAGGTTGCTGTGAGCTAGGCTGATGCCACGGCACTCACTCTAGCCTGGACAACAAAGAGAGACTCTGTCTCAAAATAAATAAATAAATAAATATAAAGAAAGTGCTTTTTAAAAAATTATCATTTTCTTAGAGAAAAAAGCCCATACTGCCAATCCTCTCAAATAGGGACCTCTCATTCTTACTGGACATGGGAACAGAGAAGTCAATAAAGTCCCTGACCTCAGAATCTATACATTTTAAGTGAAGCCAAAAATAGGTTTGCAAAAAGTACTTCTGATAGCCATAAATGCTGTATAGTCATTAAAACATGATACCATGAAAGAGACTGGGGAAAAGGAATTATTGCAGATAAGATGGTTAGAAAAGGCTCTTCTGAGGTGAAAAGCTGAGGCCTGAATGATGAGATGTCAGCCTTATAAAGAACAGGCAGAAGCACGTTTCAGGCAAAGGGAAGAATCACCTCAGTAATGAGCTTGGTATGTTTTAAGTAATGGAAAGACAACCAGTGTGGCTGCAGCAAATGATGACAGAAGAGGAAAAGACAGGCAGAAATTAGTTAGGAAATTTGGAGTTTATTCTTAGTGTAATAAAAGCCACTGGACAGTTTTAAGCAGGAGAGTAAGATCTGACGTTTTTCCTCCAGATGATTGGACTATTCACACCCTCACCTCCTGCAGGTCTTTATTTAAAAGTCGCCTTCTCAGGAGGCCTTCCCTGGCTACCCTATCAAAAATTGCTGCACTCCCTCCTCTGCTTTATTTCCTTCTCAGTATTTAATCACATTTAACATGCCATGGCATGGTTTTTGAATACTACCTTCATGATTTCTGCCATAACAATACCACTAGTAGTATTGTTTCCTAATATTAAAATGGCCGGGAGTGGTGGCTCCCACCTATAATCCTAACACTTTGTGAGGCCGAGGCAGGTGGATTGCTCAAGGTCAGGAGTTCGAAACCAGCCTGAGCAAGAGCGAGATGCCATCTCTACTAAAAATAGAAAGACGTTAATTGGCCAACTAAAATATATATAGAAAAATTAGCCGGGCAAGGCGGCATATGCCTGTAGTGCCAGCTACTTGGGAGGCAGAGGCAGGAGGATCGCTTAAGCCCAGGAGTTTGAGGTTGCTGTGAGCTAGGCTGATGCCATGGACCTGGGCAACAGAGTGAGACTCTGTCTCAAAAAAAAAAAAAACAAACATGCCATGGCATTTCTGACTTAACCAACTCTCTCTGCTAGAATAACTTTAGGAGGGTAGGAGTTTTTGTCTGGTTTGTTTACTATTGTATCCCCAGGTCCCAGAACAGTACCTACTACACAGATGTTCACTAAATACTTGTCAAATGTATAAAGTATAGGTTTAAAAATTATTTTGGGCCGGGCGGGGTGGCTCACGCCTGTAATCCTAGCACTCTGGGAGGCCGAGGCGGGCGGATTGCTCAAGGTCAGGAGTTCGAAACCAGCCTGAGCAAGAGCGAGATGCCATCTCTACTAAAAATAGAAAGACGTTAATTGGACTAATATATATATATAGAAAAAATTAGCCGGGCATGGTGGCGCATGCCTGTAGTCCCAGCTACTCGGGAGGCTGAGGCAGAAGGATTGCTTGAGCCCAGGAGTTTGAGGTTGCTGTGAGCTAGGCTGACGCCACGCACTCACGCTAGCCTGGGCAACAAAGCGAGACTCTGTCTCAAAAAAAAAAAAAAAAAATTATTTTGATTGCTAGTTGATTGCAGAATAAACTAGAGCATAGCAAGAGCAGGGTGTAAAGGAGCCAAATGCAACAATCCATGCAAGAGGTAATAGGATTTAGACCAATGTGATGGCAGCAGGACAGTTTGGAGTATGTACTTTGGAGGTAGAGGTAACAGATTAGACAGATGAGGTTAATTTGACAGATTAGATGTTAGAAGAAGGGAAATGATGACTTTCTGACTTGAGCAGTGGATGATGCCATTTAGAGACAGAGAAGACTGGAGCAAATAAATTGTGCACTGGAGAAGAAAAGGGAAGTTGTAGAAACAAGCATTCTATTCTCCTTGCTTCCTCTGTAGTAGTGCCTGACATTCACACCGACACTGCTCAGCTTTGAAAATCTTAACACAGAGACATGTCCATTCACCTAGGACCAGAGTGCCCCGAGTACTTGGATACATGTTATGGATACATGTTAGAGAACAACTCAAGAAAACACAAACTTTGTCACTGGGTTGAAGAAAAGATTGATGAAATGAAAAAAAATATTCCAAAACACCAACTCTTGCCTGGAGGTTCTACTTTAATGGTGATGTTGAGAGATCAATGTTATCTCTAAGATAAACTTCTTAATCTCATGCTCTGTTGCTCTAGCAGTGAAATATAAGGTTAAAAACCATAGGTTTGGGGAATCAGGCAGATCTAAGTTCAATCACAGCTCCACCACTTCTTAGCTGTGAAACCTTGGTCTAGTTACTTAGAACCTCTTCCCGGGTTGGTTCCTCAGCTGTACAACATGGAATAATATTGACTGCCTCACCTCAGAGGGTCGAGGGGGTTCAAAGAATGTGTAAAGTGAAGGGCCAACTATAATCCCAGCCATATATCTTTGTAAGTAAGTGGTAGTGAATACTACAATGACTGTGGTTATTCTCACTTCATTTCGGAAGAAGCAGCTCCAACTCAGACAAACTAAGTTTACACTCCTGACCTCTTGTCTAGTTACCCGCACTAGGTTAGCTTCCCAATCTCGCCACAAAGACAGACATTTCAATTTCTTTTCTAGGATCCAGAGGGGGCAGCTCAGGCTTAAGGGAATAAACACCACGCAACCCTGAGGAAATGTCAATTGTAAAAAGTACCACTTCCAGTGTGGCATCTCTTCACAAAAAAGAAAGTACCAGACACACTGTACGGACGAAATTCCCCTCGCCCTGGCAAACTTTTCCACGCCTCATCCAGAGTGAGGGAACATCCTGAGAAATGGAGCACGCACTCCCGACCTGGCGCGCCCGGGCTCCGAGTCCGTTATTGTGTGAGAAAGCTCCGGGCCGGCAGGGAGGCTCTGGGCTCCAGCATCATTGCCAACGGGGCTGGGGGAAGGCTTCGAATTTAGGACCCTGGCCTGGAGGCCTCAGGGCGTCTGAGTTACAAGCGTTTCTGGCAACGGCAATTGCGAGCGAAGGGGCTGGGGTATGGAGGGTGCTGGATGAGGGGTGGGATTACCCGGCTGCCGCTGTCGCCTGGATGGTCTCCGCGGCCGTCCCGGGAGAAGTCAGCGCGGGACTCCCCCCGGCTGCTGCCTCGGAAGCCAGCCGGGCCCGGCGGGAAGAGTCGTCGGCCCCGCGGTGGCGACGGGGAGCCACGACGGGCCCGCGGCGGGGACGGCGAGGCCCGGCGGCCGCGGTGCCCTGAGGGCGAGCGGGGTCGCCGAGCCGGGGTCCGCGACGAGGAGGAACCGGAGGGCGGCGGCGAGGTGCGGCGAGCCGGGCCTGAGGAGGAGCCGGAGCTGCGACCGGTGCGCGGGCCGCCACCGCCGCCGTCTTTAGGCCGGTGAGAAGAGACCGAGGAGCGGGCGCCGCTGCGGTACATGGTTCTGGAAGCAGCGGCCACGGCTGCAGCTCCAACCCGGGGGCGCCCTAGACGCGGGCCCCGAGCGCGCCGCCGTAGCTGCAGCCGCCACCACCACGGCCGCCGCGCGCCACCTCAGACGCCAGAGCAGCCCCCTCCCCTCGGCCCAGCGCCACAGCCGGGGGTTCGGCAGAGCGCGCCCCCGTGGCCGTGGCCGGCGGTTGGAGGGCGCGAGCACGCGTCCGACACACCCCCCCGCCTCTGGGGCTCCAGGCTCCTCCACTCAGGGAGCGGCCACAGGAGCCAGGAGAAGTGGGGAGGAGCGCGGAGGCCGGCGCGAGGCTGACGAGGGGAGGGGAAACGAAGCGCGTTCCCTGAGCTCGGCACGCTCCGCCTCCAAGCGCTTAAGATGGCGGCCGCTGAGCCACCCACTTCCCCTCCCCCGGCGGCCACGTGACCCTGAGGGCCTCCACGCGGGGTGGGCGGGGCGGAAGGGAGGGATTGGCGGGAGAAGAGTCTGGTCTTCTAGAGAAGCCTGAGGCCTTGGGACTGGGCGTTTGGAGATCCAGGATCATCTTCGCCTTTTCCCTGACCCCCAGAATATAAGTGATTCCTCAAAACGTTAGCTATTGTAAAGTTTTTGGCAGCAACGAAAAGAAAAAACAGAGAGAGAGTGGGGCTAAACAACGTGGCTTTATTGAGTGCTGCTGCTGGAGGTTTGGGGGTCCCAAGAGAGAGGGGCTGAGAAGTCGCACTCGTTTAAAAGGGGGGAAGGCTTTTATACCGTTTTAAGTGGGCTGAGGACTTTTGGCGGGAACAGCTGGGGTTTTTCCACTGTGACTTTTGGTGGTCATTGAGAAGTAGAAGGGGCTGCCACTATTTGCGGAATCCAGGAACCAAAACTTTCTTATCTGGGTTGACATCTAGATGTGATTGTTCTCAGTGGGGCCTGGCAGTTGTCCTTGGCTGGGGTCTGGTCTCCTGAGCCTTTTCTTTTTTGATCTAGGGAGGGGAGGGAGGCCGCCACCAGCCTTACAGCTATGGCGGAGGTTATGCACCTTGGCGAGAGCGCCTGCCCATGTCTTGGCCACCACGGAAGCAGCACAACTAGGAAGTCAGTTTACTTCGCAGTTTATCTGATTTATAGAGGTTGAAATTGAAGATGGGAAAGTGCGGGTTAGGGGTGAGACTCAAACACAAAATAGATATCAGTAAGTTTTCGAGAGGTCTTTCTCTGACCAAGTATTTGTGGTTATGGTGGAGGTCACTCACTACCAGGGGTCCATATCATGACAAACAGGCGAGTTTTTTGTGAGAGATTCTGATACCACCACTGCCCCCCAACTGTATGACTAGAATTTCCCTGTATGCCAGTCTGAGGGCTCTGCAACCTAATTATAAAAGTCAAGATAAAACAACACAAAGAACACAATAGTCAAAACATGAAAAAAAAATGTGGACTGTAAACAATGGCTTAATATTTTTCATCTATCAACTAGAAATATAATACAAAACCTGAAATTGGCTAAAAAAAAAAAAAATCAGGACCAGTCTTCGTGGCTCTGGCCTATAATCCTAGCACTTTGGGAAGCTGAGGGGACCATGGCTTGAGATCAGCAGTTGGTGACCAACCTGAGCAACATTGGGATAACTGGTCTCTGTAAAAAGTAGAAAAATTAACTGTGGCATAGTGGTGCTTGCCTATAGTTCCAGCCACTCAGGAGGCTTGACAGTAAGAGAATTGCTTGATCCCAGGATTTTGAGGTTTCAGTGGGCTATGTTGACCTTCACTGCACTCTAGCCCAGGCAACAGAGGGAGACCCTATCTCAAAAAAAATCAGGTTTCTGGCCAGGTGTGGTGGCTCACACCTGTAATCCTAACACTCTTAAGAGGCCAAGACAGGAAGATCACATGAGGTGAGGAGTTTGAGGCCAGCCTGAGCAAGAGCAGAGTAGATCCCAACCATTGGGATGACAGAGTGAGACTCTGTCTCAAAAAAAAAAAAAAAAAAAAATCAGTTTTCTGATTTCAAAGCCAAGGCAGAACAAAGAAAGATTTAATTATAAAAGATTTTGATTTTCTAATTTAAGTTTTGTGAGCTAAAATAAAATCTTAAGCCTCCCTAACCGACTGAATAGACCCCCCTCTTGGCCAAGGGAGACACCACCCACAAAAAACCCTTTAACAGAGTTGCCAGCCATGAGGAGAAGGGAGGTCAGACACCTAGCTATAACTTGTCTTTTTTGGAGTTATTTTTGTGAGAATAAGATACAAAATCATTAGCAACAAAATCGTTAGCAAGCCTAAGGTCATGTAAGACAAAAGTTAAACCACACCTATAGATCATCAATTTACTTAACAGATCACTTGAGTCTCAATATATATCCAATATATGTCCTATGACTTCCTTAACTTAAAATGTTCCAAGCCTTTAGATAAAACTTCATTTCTTTAATCAATTACAAATCAGAGAATCTTTAAACCCACCTATAACCTGTAAATCCCCACTTGGAGATGGCCTGCCTTTTTGGGGCAGACCAGTGTGCACCTTCCATGTATTGATTTTGACTTTATGTGTAATTCCTGTCTCCCTAAAATGTATAAAACCAAACTGTAATGCAACCATGGAAAGACCACTTGCTTAAGCCTTCTTGGGAGTGGCTCTCTGGGCCATACTTGTACATATTCGGCTCAAAATGAACTTCTTAAAATTATTTTACAGAATTTTGGGGGTTTTTCCATTGACAGTTTTTGTATTAAATTTAAAATATATCCAATTTCACACGTTTGTATAATGGCATATGCTCACATCATAGCTCAGTAAAAGTAAAGTATAAAATTATTACTACTTGATTTTTCTTACTCTCAGCTTCACTCTTTATATATAATTTATGTAAAATAAAAAAACCCATAAAAGTTATTTTAAAGAAAAAATAATAAAAATCTGTCAGAGGTATATGCCCTGTCTTTATTAGCCTAGATGTTGGTTTTGTTTCCCACACTTTTGGGAAACACATTTATCTAAGTAAATGTGAAGAAAATGTGAATCAGTGTGTACAAATACTTGAAAAAAATCAGGTTTCTGATTTCAAAGCCAAGGCAAGTCAATACAAGTCAATGTATTGACTTGAAGTCAATACATTTTAAATCAGGCTGCATTATACTCTGTGTAAACTTTTCCTCCTCAATCCTTTTCTATACTGAATAAGTATTTTAATCAAAGGAGCTGGCCTTTGTGATATATAATCACAAAACTCCTGCTTCCTCTTCACACTTGCCCTATGTGTAATACTTTGTGACATGCATGAAATCTTTTGCAAATCCCTTCAGTTTTCAAATATTTTTTCAGTCACATGAGTAGCCTTTATTACAGTAGTGAAAATGTTTAGTCCAGGCCAGGGTAATAATTAAAACTTGAAACTTTAGGCTGCTGCAGTGGCTCACACCTATAATCCCAGCACTTTGGGAGGCCAAGGCAGGAGGATCACTAGAGGCTGGAAGCTTGAGACCAGCATGGGTAACATAGACCCCTTCTCTACAAAAATAAAAAAATTAGCTGGTCATGGTGGTGTGTGCCTGTAGTCCCAAGGACCTGGGAGGCTGAGGCAGGAGGATCCCTGAGCCCAGGAGTTTGGGGTTACAGTGAGCTATGATCACGCCACTGCACTCCAGCCTGGGTGACAGGGTGAGACCCTGTCTCAAAACCAAAGCAAGGCCGGGCATGGTGGCTCACGCCTGTAATCCTAGCTCTCTGGGAGGCGGAGGCGGGCGGATTGCTTGAGGTCAGGAGTTCGAAACCAGGCTGAGCAAGAACGAGACCCCATCTCTACTATAAATAGAAAGAAATTAATTGGCCAACTAATATATATATTAAAAAAAAAATCAGCCGGGCATGGTGGCGCGTGCCTGTAGTCCCAGCTACTTGGGAGGCTGAGGCAGAAGGATTGCTTGAGCCAGGAGATTGAGGTTGCTGTGAGCTAGGCTGACGCCATGGCACTCACTCTAGCCTAGGCAACAAAGCGAGACTCTGTCTCAAAAAAAACAAACAAAAAAAAAAACAACAAAGCAAAATAAAACTTTAAGCTAAAAGTTCTCCCCTAACTCTTGCTTGCTTCAAATTTGAAGCTTGCTGTGATGAAGGGAGGTGTGGTAGTCCTTTCCACATCCCTGCTTTTACTCCTCAGATTTTACTTCTCCTTTCCCATTGTCTGGTTGCTATTTCTGACACCATCTCCAACCCCCATTTGGTGCAGGAGGAGAAGGGATTAGAGGGAAAGAACACAGACTTTCCTGGTTGGTGCAGGAGGCTGTTATCTCCAAAATGTGTTCCCTGTGGGTATGGAGCACTCACAAGTGTTGGCTCTTCTCTCTTATATCACCTTTGTGGGCTTTTCTAGGACTCTCGTGCTGGGAACTAGGTGATGCTCCTCCTCTGGTTGACTGTCTATGACTCTCCTCCTTCACCCCATGTCAAACTCACTCCCCTAGGAGTCCCTTTACTCTCTGGGCATCCCTCATGGGAAAGATCCTTTTTAAATGACTCCAAGCTTCTAGGTATACTTGGCTCGCAGGATAACTCATGCATTTTTGCCCCAGTGGTGAGGGCAGTGAAGCTCACTCCCCATGCCACCACCTGACTCGGTATCCCAGCACTGTTAGTTAGCCAGTATCTTGCTTTTGGACTTCCTCCCAGATAGGGATTAAGACATTGGTCCCTGTGGACCTCCAAACCCCAGGAGACACAAACCAAACATTGTAAGAGGTTCTAGTGAAGGCCTATATCTCACATGGCCTCAGGCAGAGAGAAAGACCTCTCCCCATTCATCAGAGTGGCAGGAGAGGAAATACTAATATAGAGCCCACAGGTCACCTTCACACACAACCCTTATTCTCTTATATAGACTGAATGTTGATGATTAGTATTGCTGGCAGACTAGTTCACAATTTCTTAGCATCTCCCTGTAAGATGTAGGATGGAGAGTATGTGGTATCTATTATGTTGCTTTCCAACTTTGAGGCCTTGGCTGAGACTCAAAAGACAATAGGCCGAATCTAATTAACATATTGTCACAACTATTGTCCCTCATTGATTTAAGAATTTTTTATTAGACTTCTGATGAAAATGGTGAAATGTGTTAAGGCTTTCACATACATACACACAAACACACACCCTTCTCATAGTAGACATATAGCAATGATAGATTAAACCTGAAAAGACAAAGGTAAAGAGATCTAGGCTCTATGCTATGGACTGAATTTTGTTCCCCTCAAAATTAATATGTTAAAGTCTTATCCCCCAATGTGATGGTATTTGGAGATGGGGCCTTTGGTAGATAATTAGGGTTAGATGAGGTCTTGAGGGTGGGGCCCTCAAAATG